TTATTAGACATATTCTTTTTTTCTTTCTACAGTACGCGGGCCTCTCACTGTTGCGGCCTCTCCCGTTGCGGAGCACAGGCTCCGGACGCGCCGGCTCAGCGGCCATGGCTCACCGGCCTAGCCGCTCCGCGGCATGTGGGATCTTCCCGGACCTGGGCACGAACCCGTGTCCCCTGCATCGGCAGGAGGACTCTCAACCATTGCGCCACCAGGGAAGCCCTATTTACTTATCTTTTACTTAGCTATTTCAGTGCAGTGCAGTCTGAGATAAGCACTTACAGCTTCAGTACACTGCACTGAAATAGCTAAGTAAAAGATAAGTAAACACTGTATGATCTTTATATGAACCTTGTGAGTGATGCTATCTGAGCAAGACATGGCCTCTTGGGCCTTAGTGTGGATTTCAGAACAATAGAGCATATTGGTTCATGTCAGAAAACTTAATCCTGGTCTTGTGGAAATCACAGCAAAGCAGCAGAAGAAAAGCCAATCTGAAATGCTTTTCCTTTTCCAAGAGGGCAGCTAAGGTGCCCAGGTATCTTTGCCCTCCAGGGGTGCAGGTGTGCAGTTTTTATTCTTTAATCATTCACATAAATTAACGCTTATTCTTTTGCATTTAAAAAATAACATGAAATGACACCCTCCATGTTTTATTGCCAGACAGGAGCTTTGAACTTCTGTCTCGCTGAAGTTTGGTAAAGTACAAGGATTTTCCGTGGCTGGGTGGTACCCTTAACCACAGAAGGAACGTTGGAATGATAAGAGCTGCACATGAAGGAAACCACTAGGGAGCAGCAATTTAGAGAGAGCTCTTTGCACTTGGCTTGTGTGAAATTCTCAGGGAGGAACTTCTTCCTACCTCTGCTGGCTCTTCTTAGCTCCTTCGCTTCACGCACAGATGAAAAGAGCACAAGGACATGTATACACTACCAAACATAAGGTAGATAGCTAGTGGGAAGCAGCCGCATAGCACAGGGAGACCAGCTTGGTGCTTTGTGACCACCTGGAGGGGTGGGATAGGGAGGGTGGGAGGGAGGGAGATGCAAGAGGGAAGAGATATGGGAACATATGTATATGTATAACTGATTCACTTTGTTATATAGCAGAAACTAACACACCATTGTAAAGCAATTCTACTCCAATAAAGATGTTAAAAAAAAAAAAGAAGAAAAGAAAAGAGCACTAGGGCTTTCTGTTTCTACTTTCCGAACTAGGAATGGGTGGGGTGAATACTTTGTGGTGGGGTGGTTCTTTGTAAGAAACTTTGAAATTTGGGGACAAGTTTTAACTTCACACAAATGCTGATTAGCATGCATACCTATGCAGGTGGGGACAGGATATACACATACACACTCACATACACACATATGAATTCACATGGACAGAAGTGGACCACATCCCTCAGATGATTTTACTATCAACATACACCCCTGCTTTTGTGCTCTGTAAAATGAAGATCATATTTATTTCTAAAACTGATTATAAAGTGTCAGTGAAGAGGCAGTGTGGTATATAGTGTTAAGAGCATGGGTTCTTGGTAGGACACACCTTGGTTTGAATCTTGGCTTCTCTTCTCACTAGCTGTGTGATCTTGAGCAAGTTACTTTATTTCTATAAATCTCAGTTCTCCCATTTGTAAAACAGAAACATGATCAAAATATCTATCATAGGATTGTTGTGAAGACTAAATGAAATCATGCATGTAAAACAATTAGCACAGTCTCTGGCCCATTGTTGTTCAGTAAGTTGCACAGGTCCTCAAAATTGGTAGAGCTGTTATTATCATTATTATGTGTAATATTAAACTCTAAATGTCTGATTGATAGCTGAATGTTAAATAAGTATAGTCCTTTATTTATATTTGTTTTCTTTTTTCCTTTCCCCTCTCCCCCCATGCTTTTTTTTTTTTTCTCATGCAAAGTCTGTTTTCCAGAAAAGTTCTCCTTTTTTTGAGGAGGACGAAAGTACTTTGATTTTAACTGCTCTGAAAACATTTCTCCCTTAAAGAGCTTTCACATTGACTTTTAGTCCCTGGAGCTAGGGAGGAGAAGCAGCAGGATTTGCTTCTAAGTAGAGCTCTTTCATTTCTGCCATCAAAAAACAAAACAAACAACCAAATCAAAAAACAAAACCAAAAAACAAAACAAAAAAACCCCCTAGTCTTGTAGTAGCCTTAGGTAGATCTAAGTCATAAAAGCCTATATAGTCCAAGGAAGAAATCTTTTTGTAAGACCAGGATAAGTGAGTGGAATAAGGGAAGGAAACTCAGAGGTGAAAGTATACCTGATTTTAATGTTGGTTTGGCCATTTTTTCTTCCCAATTTCATATATGCTTAATTATAAAACAATTAATGCCAGAAATCATCCTTTTTTTTTTTTGGCCATGCCACGTGGCTTGCAGGATCTTAGTTCCCTGACCAGGGATTGAACCCAGGGCCAACAGCAGTGGCACTGCAGTTCCCTGACCAGGGATTGAACCCAGGGCCAACAGCAGTGGCACTGAGTCCTAACCACTGGACTGCCAGGGAAGTCCCAAGAGATTGTCATGTATTATCTCACGACTTCACTATCAGTTTTGGCCATTTCTTAGCGAAATAGTTTTCCAGTTGGATGAACTGTTGATGAAGCACTGGTTTTGTTTTCACATCTTTTTCTGAGGTCAGGGTTAGAGAATGTTTGTGGTAGCTGATAGTTGTTAGCTTTGGGAAGCACTCATATTGACAGAATAAGTCATGGAATGTAAACATGTCATTCATCTGGACTTTAGACTGGTGTAAACATGGTGAAACTTTAGGTAACCACTGTCAAATAAAGACTCAGTTGAGTAGAGCTTGGGTAGATAAACTTATTTGCTTTATAAGTCTCACTAAACTACCAGGACTTCAGGAATGTTTTTTTGAAGTACCTATTTTTACAAATTTTAGGTAATTCTTTCATATTTTCCTGAAGGATGAAAATGTGAAAGAGGCAAATGCCCATCTCAGCAACCTTGTGGAACTGCTTTTTGGCAGGATATTTATTACTTTTGGGTTTTTTGTTCTTACTGTTCCAGACGAAAGTTGTTTTGTTTTGCTTTTTTGTAAAAAATAGGGTGGTAAATGGAAGTACTGAATTGGAAGTTTCTATATGAAGTGTGCCAGGCTACCACTGGCAAAACACAGGGAAGGGGAACAAGCATTTGGTGAGCACCTGCTATATTAGAAGCTCTGCTGTATTACTGAAGTAAACCTCCAATAGCCCTTTGACATAGCTTTTAATAAAATATATTATCAAGAAAACCAGGTATTGTGGTTTATGAATAGTAACGGTATTATTATCCACAGGAAATAGGCTTGCAGAATAATTTGCTCAAGGTCACACAGCTAGCATTTGGTGGGGCTGAGAATGGAACTCAAGTGTCTTGGAACTCCAAAGCCCATGTTCTTAAACAGTGATTCTTAAACTACATCAGAAACATCAAGGGTACCTGTTAAAAATTACTGGGCTCCAGTTAGAATTTTAAGGTCACCAAGTCTGAGATATTGTCAGATATGTGGAATCTAAAATATGATACAGGGACTTCCCTGGTGGTGCAGTGGTTAAGAATTGCCTGCCAATGCAGGGGACATGGGTTCAAGCCCTGGTCCGGGAAGATCCCACATGCCACGGAGCAGCTAAGCCCATGCGCCACAACTGCTGAGCCTGCGCTCTACAGCTCACAAGCCGCAACTATTGAGCCCACGTGCCACAACTACTGAAGCCCGCACGCCTAGAACCCGTGCTCCACAACAAGAGAAGCCACTGCAATGAGAAGCCCGCACACTGCAACGAAGAGTAGCCCCCGCTCGAGACAATGAGTGAAAGCACGCATGCAGCAGCAAAGACCCAGTGCGGCCAAAAATAAATAAATAAATGTATAAAAAAATTAAAATAAGTAAAATAAATTATGATACAAATGAACTTATTTACAAAACAGAAACAGACCCACAGACATAGATGACAAACTTACAGTTACCAAAGGGGAAGGGGGAAGGGATAAACTAAGAGTTTGGAATTAGCAAATACAAACTACTATATATAAAATAGATAAACAACAAGGTTCTACTGTATAGCACAGAAAACTATATTCGATCTCTTGTAATAACTTACAATGGAAAAGAATATGAAAAAGAACATATATATATAACTGAATCACTTTGTTGTACACCAGAATCTAACACAACATTGTAAATCAACTATACTTCAATATATAAATAAATTAAGTAATTAAATTAAATAATGTTTATTTCCACACTTGATAAAGAAGAAAACAGGTGCAGATTAAATAACTATCCAAGATTAAGCTATCAGACAGAGCCATGATTCCAACCCAGGTCTGTCTAATTCTAATACTCATCACACCCTGTATTACAAGCCCATGATTAAGTCATACATTTATCCGTCACAACAAATGTAGAAAACATGATTTCTGATAAATTGGGCCACACAGATTTCATGGTCTTATTACTTACCAAGGTTAATAACTTATGACAACTTTACTGAAATCTTCATGGTCCTTAAACTCTTTCAGTGACTTTTTTTTTAATTAAAGAATTGAGTTTTCCTTGCAGTCAGATCATCCATGTTTCAGGCATAGAATCATTACTCCCTGGGATAAATTTCTGGGACATGCGGAAGTGGAAGAAGGTGGAAGGAGGTAGGAAGAAAGAATTCCCAGGTGTATCTGCTAAATGGTGCTAAAGCTCCTCACCCTAATCACTGAAATGAAGAGTGAAGGGTTGATATTAATACTAACAGCCAATCACATGGCAATAGGTTATGTTCTCCAGCATCTCCCATTCTGCCCATTGAGACTAGCTCAGTTAGGGCCAGCAAGTTTGGTTTGCCTATTCCAGTCCACTTCCTAGAACAGAACCAACACCTTGATTGACTTTCATGGCCTACTGGGATTGGAAGGACTTTTTTTTTTGTATCCCTCTCACTTTCTCTTTCTGTCTTTGTTTGTTTGTTTGTTTTTTTAGCCCAGCGCCATGTCCTCACATACATGGAGGACGCAGTATGCCAGCTGCTAGAGAACAAGGAAGATATTAGCCAATTTGGCATTGCCAGGTTCTTCACTGAATAGTAAGTACATGAGTGCTTTGCCTATAGTGTGGGCCCAGAGGAGGCTTTTGGAAGCAGGCAAGATACATGAAAAGTAGAGCAGGGCAATGCTGATTATGTAGTGGCAGTGAATGCTTAGTTTTGGTAGACTGATTGAGGGCTGCCCAAACAGGTTTTGGAACATGCCTTCGGTGCAGCTAGTTTTGTCCAATGATAAGTCTCATGAGTGGTGATAACTATGAAAGTTCAACTGCTGCTTGTTTGATCTATTAGATCTGTTTTTTTTAGGTTCCTCTTATAATTTTTAACTTTCCCTGTTATTCAGAATATTCACTCTGATTTCCTTTAGTCAGTGTTCCTTTAGCCTGTGTTTTTCTTGGCTGGCTTTTTTCACGGAAATGCTTAGGATGATATTCCTCTGCAGTTTTCTTTCTACAGGAGGCTGTGTCAATCACTTAATGATTTAAGATTATTTCTAGAGGCAGGACATCTTTCACAGATTATATCTTTGAGGAGTAGTGTTTCTTTATAAAGTATGCTTGGAGTGTGTAAAAGTCAAAATGATTATTTTTTAATTTATTAAAAAATTGTTTTCTTCAAGTTTTATTGAGATATAATTGACGTATAGTACTAAGTTTAAGGTGTATGGCATAATGATTTGATTTACATACATCATGAAGAAGTGATTATCATAATAAGTTAGTGAACATTCATCATCTTATATAGATAGATAATTAAAGAAATAGAAAAAAACTTTTTTCTTTTGATGAGAACTCTTAGGATTTACTCTCTTAACAATTTTCATTTGTAACATGCAGCAGTGTTAATTATATTTATCATCTTGTACATTATTACATCCCTAGTACTTGTTTATCTTATAACTGGAAGTTTTGACTGCCTTTATCCAATTCCTCCTATCCCCCACCCACCTCTGATGACCTGAAATCTGATCTCTTTTTCTATGAGTTTGTTTGTTTTTGAATTATTGACCTATAACACTGTTAGCTCCTGTTACTTCTATACATTTGAAACTGATCACTGCAATAAGTCTAGTTGTGATAGTTCAATATACAAAGATATTACTTAGTTTTTTGTTTCTGTTTCTTTTTTAGGTATTACATAGTTATTGACCATATTCCCCACACTGTACATTTCATACCCATAAGTCATTCATTTTGCAACTGAAAGGTTGTACCTCTTAATCTCTCTTACCTATTTCTTTCTTTTTGGTGTCACAGAACTGTTTTTAGGCTGAATGAAATAATCAATTTAAAATACCTTGGTCTTCATGAAAGGATATGCTAAAGAAATACAAAAAATTATTTTTATTACCAAAATGCCAACATAATTATATAATCATTTGTCTTCTTTTTCCTTTTTTTCTGGTTTATCGTAAGCATTCTAAAAAAGGAAGAATAGCCTCTTATAGGCTTCTACTTATGGTGCATCATGAGCTCAAGTCCATCCTCCTTGAAAACAATTTTTTTTTCCTTTCTGTTCTCCAGAGATTCCTTGAAGATCAGACATCTCTTCTAATGGCCTTAACTTGGGTTGCTGTTAGGGGAATTCTTGACTCCCCCTAGCTCTTTTGCTGAGCTATAAGTCTTGCAAACAAAATCTAGATTTCTTATGGATTGGAATGTCAAGTTCCTGGGAAAAACAGGCTTTCCAGGATCAGAGCTGGTCCCTTCTCCCAGTCTTCTAAGGGAGGGTGAAGTAGAGCAAGGAATCTCACTTGTTCTCCAGGTATATGGGCTGAAGCAAGTGAGGTGGGCTGGGAATAAAGACTGAGCTTGGATAGCCTTGCTTGCTTTCACGGAACTGACCAGCCTAGGGGTCAAGTTTCTAGGTCATTTAATCTGTACGAGCACCCTTGAGGCTCCTTGCCAAATGAAATACGATTCTTCTGGGGACAATGCTTCTTCCTGGCTGTTTTCATTTTACTCTATTTCCCCCTCCCCCATCTCCTTTATAAGTCTTTTCCCTACTGTGCTGGTTCCTTGAGGGTAGGCATCATTTCTTCTTCATCCCTGTGTTCCCAATACCTGGCATGATGCTTATTATATGATAGGTGTTAGGTAAATGTTGAATCTACAGCTGTATCTGTATTTTAGGTTATTGCATACTATCCACTCTTATTCTTGGTCCTATTATGAATAAGGACCGTCTCTTGTTCTTTCTCTCTTTTTTCTTGATTCTTTTTGATAAAGTTCTATATCCTGCCATTTAAGAAGCTGTATACTGGAATTCCCTGGTGGTCCAGTGGTTAGGACTCTGCACTTACACTATAGGTGGCACGGGTTAGGTCCCTGTTCAGGAACTAAGATCCCATATGCCTTGAGGCACGGCCAAAAAAAAAAAAAAAAAAAAAAAAAGAAGCTGTATACCATGTATATAGCACTCCAAAAGTGAACCCACTGGTGTATGAAACTAATACCAAACTCTAGTAAGGCTTATAACTGTTTCCAAATGCTATTGACTATAGCTTTTATCTAGCAGTACACTGTTGGAAAAAAAAATCTTAAGACTTTTTTCCACAGTGCTGATAGAAATCTAGTTGCCAAGTGAGCAGTTTCTTTTTTTTTTTTAACATCTTTATTGGAGTATAATTGCTTTACAATGGTGTGTTAGTTTCCGCTTTATAACAAAGTGAATCAGTTATACATACACATATGTTCCCATGTTTCTTCCCTCTCCCATCTCCCTAGTGTATATATATATGTCCATGTCACTCTCTCACTTTGTCCCAGCTTACCCTTCCCCCTCCCCATATGTGAGCAGTTTCTTGTCCTTAGAAAACTAAAAATTACATAATCTATGTGAATGGCACATACCTGATATTTTTTTTAAATAGATCTTTATTGGAGTATAACTGCTTCACAATACTGTGTTAGTTTCTGTTGTATAACAGAGTGAATCATCCATATGCATACATATGTCTCCATATCCCCTCCCTCTTGAGCCTCCCTCCCACTGTCCCTATCCCACCCCTCTAGGTCATCGCAAAGCACCGGGCTGATCTACGTGTGCTATGCTGCTGCTTCCCACTAGCTATTGAACATTTGGTAGTGTATATATGTCGATGTTACTCTCACTTCACCTCAGCTTCCCCCTCTCAAGCATCCCCCCAACCGTGTCCTCAAGTCCATTCCCTATGTCTATGTCTTTATTCCTACCCTGCCACATCAGTACCATTTCTTTTTTTTTTTTAGATTCCATATATATGCATTAGCATACAGTATTTGTTTTTCTCTTTCTGACTTACTTCACTCTGTATGACAGACTCTAGGTCCATCCACATCACCACAAATAATTCAATTTCGTTTCTTTTTATGGCTAATATTCCATTGTATATATGTGCCTCATCTTTATCCATTCATCTGTTGATGGACACTTAGGTTGCTTCCATGTCCTGGCTATTATAAATACTGCTGCAATTTCAATTATGGTATTCTCAGGGTATATGCCCAGAAGTGGGATTGCTATGGCATATGGTAGTTCTATTTTTATTTTTTATTTTTATTTTTATTTTTTTTGCTGTACGTGGGCCCCTCACTGTTGTGGCCTTTCCCGTTGTGGAGCACAGGCTCCAGACGCGCAGGCTCAGCGGACATGTCTCATGGGCCCAGCCGCTCCACAGCATGTGGGATCTTCCCGGACCGTGGCACGAACCCGTGTCCCGTGCATCGGCAGGCGGACTCTCAACCGCTGCGCCAGCAGGGAAGCCCTATTTTTAGTTTTTTAAGGAACCTCCATGCTGTTCTCTGTAGTGGTTGTATCAATTTACATTCCCACCAACAGTGCAGGAGGGTTCCCTTTCCAGCATTTACTGTTTCTAGAGTTTTTGGTAATGGCCATTCTACCTGACATTTCTGTAACTCTAAAACACCATATTGGCCTGAGGCAAGTTATTTTAAGAGGTGAGCCAGCATCAAAGCTCCAAAATCCTTAAAAAAAAAACCCCAAAACCACAAAACTCAACCTGAAAGGTGTGCGTATATGATTGAATAGGAAGTAGTATTTGGTAGACAAGGAGACCTGAATGGTAGAAGTTCCTGATTTTCCTTTGATTGTGAATTTATCTACTGAAAATCTTTCTTTCGCAGACCTCAGTTTTGTATTGATTTATAGAAGCATAATGAAGTGAAAAGAGGTCTGCCCTGGGAAGAAAAAGAGCTCCTATCCTTATAAGTCCTCACTCCATAATCTTGGGAAATTTTCTGTCTCTTTTTTTTTTTTTTTTTGGGTCTGTGTTGGGTCTTCCTTGCTGCGCGTGGACTTTCTCTACTTGCAGTAAGCGGGGGCTACTTTTCGTTGAGGTGCACGGGCTTCTCACTGCGGTGGCTTCTCTTGTTGCGGAGCTTGGGCTCTAGGCTCACAGGCTTCAGTAGTTGCAGCACGCAGGCTCAGTAGTTGTGGAACGTGGGCCCTAGAGTACGTGGGCTTCAGTAGTTGTGGCTTGCGGGCTCTAGAGCGCCGGCTTGGTGGTTGTGGCACACTGGCTTAGTTGCTCAGTGGCATGTGGGATCTTCTCGGACCAGGGATCGAACCCATGTCCCCTGCATTGGCAGGTGGATTCTTAACCACTGTGCCACCAGAGAAGTCCCTCTGAAATTTTCTGGGCTTCAGTTGCCTCAACTGTGAAATGGGTATAATAAAGTCTAATGTGCTAATAAATAAAAATAACGTAATAATTATATAGTAAAAAATGTTTTATTAAACTCATACTATGTTTCAGCAACTGTAATTCTTTGAAGTAGGTAATATTATTATCTCTATTTTATAGATGAGGAAACTGAGGCTCAGAAAAGTTAAAATAGCTTCTTTAAGTTCACAAGCTAATAAATGACAGAATTAGGAACCAAGCCTCATCTGCAGTATTACAAAGGCCACTATTCTGTACTGTCTCCAAGTCGCTATAATGCCTAATGTTGCTGGAGGCCTAACCAGATAATAATATGAGGTCTCTTCTAGCTATGGTTTCTGGATTCTTTGAAATTTCCCTTATGAGCTGTACTTCA